ATAATAATAATAATAATAATAATAATAATAATAATAATAATAATAATAATAATAATAATAATAATAATAATAATAGTAATAATAATAGTAATAATGGTGTTAGTGTGGAATGGCAACAGACCCGCATTACACCGTTGTTTGATAGAAGGTGTTTCTGGGAAAGCTGTTTTCGTGTGGTTTCTATTGTAAAGGCTGCAGCAGCCACTACAACCTCAACTACAACTACAACTAATACTAATACTACCAATACTACAGAACAACAAGGAGGTGTGGAGATTTCTTCTACTTCGAGTAATTTGGTGAGTAAAGATGTGGGACATTGGAAATCTGTGTATGATGCGGGTCGTCGCTGTATAATAGCGGCAGCAGAAGGTAAAGATAAGAGTATTCTCACAGCCGCATCACAGAAGTTTAAAGAATTATATAATCGTAGTCTAGATCAAGATACATCAACGGATTCTTTATCCTCACCTCTTAGTGGGGTGATGAGTAGACTTTTTCATTTACTTGGTGATGGATTAAGTGTTATACCTCAGCAATGTAATCTCACTGTAGAAGAAACATCTAAACAAGCGGAACTCTCTACACAAGATGAGAAACGAGTTCAAACCTTCCTTGGAGCTCTTGATAATATTGTGGAGAAGGCCTCACGAGATCCTCCACAAGTACCGCAAGCCCCACAACGTCCCAATCGGGGAAAACGGCCATCCACAGATCTTTCTAATAATAATAGTAATAGTAATAGTAGTAGTAATGATAAGAACTCAAGACAAGGAGGAGGGAATGTGAGTAACACTCAACCAAAGCAGCAACAACAAATACAACAACAACAAAAACAGAAACATCAACAACAGAAACCACATCAATCCTTTCCACATCACTTTCCACATCTTCAAGGTGCATCATCAGCAGAGGGAATCCTTCCATTTCCCGCAGGTGGTATGAATACGGGTGTATTGCCAGTCCCAGGTACAATGCCCTTTATTCAGCAGCAACCACAACAGAAACCACCACAACCACAACAACAATTACAACAACAACAATTGCAGCAACAACAACAACAACAGAATTTCCGACCTGGTATGCACAATCCTGTATTTTTAAATCCTGGTAGAGGCAATGTAATGACGCCCGATGGTGTGGGAGTTCTAAATGATGTTTATATGCAACGTCCTTCCGTGATGGGCCAGCGTCCCATGCAGGCAGGCAACTTTGCGGGGGATCGTAAAGGCGGTAGAGGCGGCGGGAACCATCGCGGCGGTAGAGGCGGTGGGAGAGGCGGAGGCCGAGGAGGAGGAGGAGGAAGAAATGCTTTTAAATGATTAAAAAGAACTGAATTGATATTGAGAAGAGAGTAAAAGAGAGAGATAGAGAGAGAAAAAAAAAAAAGAAAGAGACGTTCCTTTTAATGGATTGCTTAATGTGATTCTCTCTTTTTAGCGTCTCTCTTGTTTGTTATTATTTGTTAGTATTAGGTGTATAATGTAGTGTTTACTGATATGACGAATCTAAGTGTTTTTTTTTTTTTCCTTATATTTCTTTTATTTAATTGATATTTGAAGGAAGCCAACAGGACTCATTTTTTTTTTTTTTCCTTTATTCGTTTTTTTTTTTTTTGGCTTGGAGTGATAAACGAAAAAAAAAAAAAAAACAATAGAGAAAGAATAATAAAGAAAAAATATATATTTAGATCGCAAGAAAGGAGCCCAAATTAAGGAATCTTCTGGGTACTTGTTGATTCACACTACTATTATTACTATTATTATTTTTTTTTTTTAGTTTAAAAGGACTGTGTGAAGGCTCTTTATTGATATTGATATTGATAATTATAATTACTATTATTACTACTACTACTTGCAGTTATGCTTGATCTCAGAGAAGGCAATAACACTGTTGCGGCACACACTCCACAGCGGGTAGCAGAGGAGATAAACATCTTATCTCTGCTACGGCAAGAACTACGAAACACACACGAGGATTATGATGGAACATCAGCTGTAGATCCTCCTGTTGAACCGGCATTCCGCACAGTAGATGCGAAAATACTTGGATATCTCAAATTTCCAAGTTTTCCATTTATTGTATGTGATGAAGCCCCTGCATCTTATCAGGCACCTGTTCCTTATAATTTGGAAAGTGTTGTTGGAAATCTCCGTGATCAGGTGTATGGTATTGAGATGTTTCTACAGAATGAGGAAAAGGTACGTGCTGCTGCTGCTGCTAGTAAAGCCAAAAGAACTCCTAAAGGAAAAACATCTGGAAATAAAAAAGGTGAAAAAAAACCTGATAAACCCGATCCTCTTGAATTTTTTACAGAAGTTATGGGAAGAGATGCCTGTTTTGCAGATGTCTCTAGAGAATCCTCTGTAGTTCGCTGGTATACACGATGGGTGGCTTCCCACTCTCTCTGTTGTCTGCAAGAGGCACTTGGACAATTAGAGTATGTTCTCTCAGAGGCTGGAATGCCAAGTGAAGAGGAATTACAAAAGGCTGTTCAACGTATTTCCTTTGTAGAGGCCGTCAGTACATTGGAGAAGGATCGACATGAAGTTATTCAAGCAGAACGACATCGTATGCACTCACGTACACGAACCTTTCGTCAACATTTAAACCCATTGGCTATCACTGCTGCGGCGAGTTCATTCCTAACGGCGGAGGAGAAGTATAGATATCAGGAATTTCATAATCAAACGGAACATCTTTTAATGATGCTTCATCATGCCTTACATGCCCAATATGTATCTTGTGGTCGTGAACCTTCTCTTGTGGATCCTGAAGGATCTTATCTTGAAAATCTTAAAAATGGAACTCTCACTACATCATTAAGAGAATCATGTAGTGAAGAAGTACACTGTCTTTCTGATGCGGCTATAAGAGCATTACGACAGGAACGGGATGCGATTACAGTTTTATTACAGAAAATTCATGAACGTCAAGAAAATGGTGTTGTGGTTGGTTTAACACGTGAACAATATCAACAAAGTCGTTTGGCGGCTATGGTAGTATATAAATGTTTACAAGATGATATTGCGATGTTGGAAGAACAAACTCGTATTGGAAAAGAATTTCTTATGCATTATGATTCTTGGATTCAATATCGTTGTGGTACTTCACATGAAAATCTAGTACGACATCTTGCAATTACTGTAAAAGATGGAGGAGATGCATTAAAATCCATAAAATGGAATTCAAGAGAGGGATTACCTTCTATACCATCACGTGAGGGATCCATCTCAACTTCAAATATTCTCACAGCTACTCAATTACCACGGCATGTGGAAGAAGTATGTGAGGCTTTTATGTCACTTTTACGATTATCCAAAACGGCATTGGGCTATGAAAGTGTGAGAGGTGTTCGTGAAACAGTTTACCGTCATTGGATGTGTTTATCTTTGCGGTATACATGTATGCAATTGGTACTTGGTCGATGGCCTAGTGATCTTCTTCTTTCCGGTATTGATGATATCACCAACAACCTCGTTCGTCTTGTCTCTGATAATGGTTCGAATTTTGCAGCCGCTCAATCTCATATTGGTGAGTTAAACGCCGTTCTTCGTTCTTTTCTCAGTCTAGTTAAAAATGGTGCAGCTCAACGTTTGGCACAACAAGAACTACTATTTTTTCCAAATGGTAATATGAGTACCAATAGCAATAGTAATAACAGCAACAACAATACGAATATAAATCCTAATCATCATCATCATCATCATCATTCAAATGATATGGGCGGTAATAGTACAAATACGAATCAACCTGCAGGAGCAGGAGTAACAAACAACACCAACACTACCAATACTGCCAACACCACTTCACGTAGTCTTGACATTCCTGTTGCTTTTCGTCTTGATAAAGATCTTGAAGGTCTTGAAAAAGTTGTGGGAATGACAGATAATGATGAGGAATTATGGGGATCTATCTTTGATGCCTTATGGTTTCAAGCAGATCCAACCGGTAACTCCCATGGAGGTCTTCTCATCTCCAAAGATCTTTCTATTGATGTGAATAAAGGATTTGGGTTTCTTCGTTTAGAGAGTATTACTTTACCAGATCGAGTTCCCAAGACTCTACAAAACCAACGAGCACCGCCTACTTTATATATGAATATGCGGTATGCCATTCACCCTGCTGATACCGCCCCTGCACGTTCCTTTGCCCAAACAGTAGAAGAAAACAATACAAACATGACCTCTACTTCTGTTATTACACGATATGGATATGCCCGTCGAGTACTACACATTTTATCTGAATTGGAACGACGACAACTTTTACAGGAATATGCCTGTCGATTAGAGGAAGTAGATTTAGTGCCACTTGAAAATACGGTGTATTTCTCACGACAACGGGATGATGGTCGTGCAAGTATAGAGAGAAGTTCACAACGTCGATCGGCATCTCTTCGAGGAACTGAAGGGGGAACTTCCTCTACGATGTCTACATCGACACGAAAATATGTAACTCTTGTAGGTCTTTTACCACCTCCTGCTGTTAATCTTATGCGGTATAATTCCGTCTGTCCGGGAGCCCCGTATCCCGCTACTCGTAAAGAGAGTCCATCCCTCACTTCTCTTACGTTGTTAATTGGAAATATGTTGTTAAATGCCTCCTCTGCAGGGAATACAATGTTGAATGAATTATATATGTTGGGGGAAAGAATACGAGATCAGGGTATGATGGATATGGAAGCGAACAATATGGAAACAGGAACAGAGGAGGCGGTTATATCAGAGAGAGGACGAGAGGCTTCCGGCAGTGAATCCACGAATAATGATGGAAATTCGCTTGTTCTTCCTATATTACGTGTATTGGATGAATATATGGCTGGTGATGCGTTTAACAAAATGTTGAGTTTGGCAGATAATGAGATGGAAGAGCAACAGAGAAATAGTCGAGAGTTACGTCATTAATAGATGGATGAATGAATGGATAAGAAGAGAGGAATCAAAGTAAATAACGGGGCTGATCTTCTTTTTTTCCATTATTTTATTTTTGATTGGATGCACTCCGGTCTCTCTCTCACTCTCTCAGTCTCTTTCTATATATAAAGGCTTGTGTAGATTGTAGTGGGAAATCAATTTACTTTTCTTCCTTATTTTACACCTTTTCATATATATATATATATATATATATATATATGTCTTTCTCTCTCTCTCTCTCTCTGTGCTGTATCTTCTTTAATAATATTTTCTTTACACTGACCCCTTTACGAAAAGAGAATATTTCTTATCTCGACAGAAGCATCGACATGAAGAAAAAAACACTACGATGGAGCATTTGGCGTACGTTTGGTTTTTTTTTTTTCCTTTTATCCTTTTTTTTGTAGTTTTCTTCTCTTTTCCCACACCTTTATTATTATTATTATTATTATTATTATTATTATTATTATTATTATTATTATTATTATTATTTCATTCACTCATGAATACAAACACTTGTCTTCATTCACGTTCAGACTCAATGGTGTGAGATCCGGTGAACTGTTTACGAAAGAAATGGTTTTCCTTCTCACTCTTTCTCTATGAGAGAACAGGGAAACAATAAGAAAAGAAAAAGAAAAATAAAATAAAAGAAACGAAACCAAATAAAGAAAATAATAATAATAATAGTGATAATAAAAATAATAGTAATAATAATGAAACGAAAAAAAAAAAAAGAAAACACCGATTTTCTTTTCTTTTTCTTTTTGTTTCTTCTTCATTGTTATTAAGATTCCTTCTCGTTTATCCCTTACCTTTTTCTTATTGGGGCCGTTATTTTCACGTACAGAGAGATGAGGAAAAGTCGTCTGTTGCTTTCAACGCAAAAAAAAAAAAAAAAACGCACAAGTAAACAACAAAAATAAAGAAAGAAAGAAAGAAAATATAAAGGCGAAGAGAGAAAAAGGGGAAAATGATTTAAAAAAAAAAATCAAGAAGAGAAGAGAAAAGAGAAAGAAATGGAGAGAAGTTTAGGTTGAAATATTCAATGTGTGTTTTTTTTTTGTCTCACGTATTTATTTGCTCCTGGAGAGTTAATTTGCACGTTTTTTTTTTT